AGAAAAGCTCTTAAAACAGTATCCACTTTGGTTCATCCAGATACAGCTCTGATAGGGACTTCGTTGTAAATATAACCCTGGATAAAGCACCGACTGCAGGGAATTAGCAGTCATAGACCAGGCTCTGTGCTGGAGGCGAGTGAGGATGACCAACGCTTCTAGGACTAAATTAAAACGGCTTTTTTACAGGCACCTAAAAATCTCTTGAGAGCATTCCTTATTTCTACCTTTGTTAAAATTATTCTCTACTCTATTCCCTTTTAATTTAAAAAAGCTTAATCTACAACCAGTCCCTGATTGGCTGCTGTGTCGCGATTTCACAAAATAGTTCAGCTCGTTTCAACTTCTGCATCCCTGCTCTGGACTCTTCATGAAGTGCTGCTGTTTGACAATACCTTAGCTCTATCTAGTAGCAGGAGTTGAGGGCCCTTCCCTGCCGGGTTTGCATAGGAATTCTTTGTGAATCCACCGCACTTCCCATTGTCACCGCACCATTCTATTCAATACCAGGACAGGAATGACATATTGAGGGAATTTTAGAACCCAATGTCTTCCATTTGTAGGAACCCAGTCAGAGTTCATCATTAACAACACTAAAGCTGGTCCTGGAGCTTTAACAGTGACCATTGAGGGTCCCTCCAAAGTGAAGATGGACTGTCAGGAGATCCCAGAGGGTTACAAAGTTCACTACACTCCCATGGCCCCGGGCAGCTACGTGATCAGCATTAAATACGGAGGACCCAACCACATCACTGGGAGTCCCTTTAAGGCCCGAGTCACAGGTACGGTGATCAGAATCAGACCCCAACCCCTGTGGGTGGAGGACGATCAGTCCACAGTTAACAGCTATGTACAATTCTGATGTATTGCCTCTAAAGGCGCCTTTCCCTTACTTGATTATGTTTTAATCAGGTGCTCGGCTGGTGAATGCGACCAACTCCGAGACGTCAACCCTAATGCTGGATCCAACTGTACGATCATCCAGCAGCTTCCTTCAGAGCGGCCTGCCCAGACCGGGAGACTCTGATGCCAGCAAGGTGCTGAGCCGAGGATCCGGACTCAGCAAGGCCTTCGTGAGCCAGAGAAGCAACTTCTCTGTGGACTGCAGCAAAGCTGGTAAGACCCTGATCAGACCTTCAGCTGTTTGCTAAATGAGACTGGAAGATCAGCAAGATCAGTTCTTTCCAAGATAAGCTGATGTTCTCATTCATGTTTTAATAGGACATAAAAGTTAAGGTTTAGTTTATTTTTAGTTTAAATTGTTGGTTCTTCTCGTTCACTGAAAGGAAAAACTCACAATGGTGACAGAAAAAAAGTTTATGAATAAAAAAAAAATGTTTTCTTTGGAAATAAGTGAAATTAAGACATTTCTTTTCAACCTTGCTTCAAATAAAATCCCCTCATGAAAACAGGCCTGGACTAAAATGATCGTTCCTCTAGAAAAGACTGAGAATAATGTGACCAAAGGGACGCATTGGATCAAGATGTGTCTACAGTCTAGTAATCAGTTAGTGGGCCTATATATAGGGCTACAAGGAGTCATTGCTTGTGACGTGGTGTAGGGCTGGGCGATAAGACGATACATATCGTACGAACGATAGAAAAGTGTCTATCGTGCTAAACAGTTAGCAGAGCTGATTCAGTATATTAAAGGGAAAGACAATGAATCAGCTCTGCT